ATCTATAGCAACAATTTGATTATAAAAGTAATTAACAAAAAGCATGGGCCCATGTGATGTATTGGTAAGTTTGGGGGCAAGAAAAAGGTAGTAACATAGATGTCTCATCAGTGCACAAGAAACATTTCCTTGGTCTCCAGGATCCATTTCTATGTGTTATTGATGGTTAAAGATACCCTTCCCAGCTAATTTCATATATCCCACTGCAAGAGAAAAAGGTAGCAACACTGTTATTATTCACAATGCTATGGCTCTTTGGGGGAAAAATTTTTTTGGGAACATTTTTAATTGAAACAGTATAGATCTTCTCGCCTCTGCAGTTCCCTAATGCCATTAATTTAATGCTGATTACATTATTACTCATCTCCTGGCAACATCCATAGTGCTGTTCATTAATAGTGGCTACCAATGATTCTCTAATGATGTTAATGTGCTTTGTTGGTGTGACCACAAATGGAAGTCTTACCCAGAGAATGCAGGAAAATGTAAAGAACTAATCTCTTTTGTGGTCATGTTAAATTTATCATTTAGAATTTTATAGCATATACGTATAGCATGCAAAGCTTTAACATAAAACAACACATCTTCCAACTATGTCTTCTCTTGAACTGTGTAAGTTCAAGAGAAGACATGGTGCAATGTCTTCGCTGCATTGGTACAATGTGACCCTTTTCATGTTGACTGCAACCCTGCATTCCGTGCACATTACCGATGGTGATGGTGAAGATAGGCAAGGAGCCCTGGGCTGCGGTTGCAACATCACAACCTCATTGTAAGAAACCTCACTCGCCTTTAGAGTCAGAAGGGTCCCAGGAACGAACGATACTCAGGTCACAAGAGGGCCTGGGATTACTGCCTTTGCCCTGAAGTTGGTATAATATTTAGCAAGTATTTGTTGAATGAGAAGATAGGTGTGATATGATGAGATGGGTATATTTAAGTATTTGTTTTTTTAAACTTCTTATTGAAGTTGAAAATAATAGCCAAATCATAAGTGTTGTAAAAAGTATTTTAACGAGTCTGGGCAGCCATTCCAGAGGAACTGCATTGCACATCTTATTTCTTGAACCTTTGGAAAGTTTGAAGTGGGCAAAATCACCTTTGGACTGAGCCACTGTCTTCCCAACAACTGTTTGTAAAAGTAACAGGAAAGCAGACTTCCTGATTACAAGAACTCATAATAAAAGACATTCTTTAGAACCAGTAAATAGCTATGAACAGCTAAATAATAACTTAGCTTTAGCAAAAATAGAAATTTCACCCTTTTGTCCATGTAATTTTCCCCTTCCTCTTCTTATAAAACCTCCTTGCCTTCACCCCATAATTAGAACACTATCTGAGTTTCTGCCTGAAATAGTGCTTTCCAATTAACTATCCTTTGATCTCAAATAAACACTTGTTGCTTCTCACTTTGGCCTTTATTTTTAGGTTAACAGTGTATAGCTCAATGAATTATTAGAAGGCTAAGAACCAGATTATGACAAAGAATATTATTAGGACCCTCACAGGTCCTAATGACAAAGAATATTATTAGGACCTTCTAGTCACTATGTCCTCCCAACTCCGTAGTAAACATTATCATAGATTAGTTTCAGCTGTTTTGGACTTCATATATGTACATGGAATCATGAAGTATGTATCGTATTTTCCGGCGAATAAGATGACCCCTAACTTTACAGTTAAAACATAGGTTTAGGCCTATATTCGCTGTATAAGACTACCCCCCACTTCCGAGGCAACACCAGTTCTTTTTTTAATAGACCGCCTCTCTGACTCTGGCCAATCTGAGCAGGCTTTTTACTAGAACACAGTGTAGCTTCGGGTACAGAACATGTATAATTTGCATGCATAAAAAGCCTGCTTGGATTGGCTGAGTTAGAGAGGCAGTCTATTAAAAAAAAGAACTGGTGTTGCCTCAGAAGTGGGGGGTAGTCTTATACAGCGAATATAGGCCTAAACCTATGTTTTAACTGTAAAATTAGGGGGTCATCTTATACGCCAGAAAATATGGTACTAGTTTGACTGGCTTTTTCAATTAAATATTGTGTTTATGAGTCACATAGATGTTTAATGTGGTTACAATTTGTTTGTTCTCATTGTTGTATATAGTATTCCACTGTGTGACTATATAACTATTTATCAGGTTTATTTATTCATAAGCATTTGGAAACTTCTAATTTCTGGCTATTGTGAATAGTGCAGTGATTAACATTATTATACACATTTTTGTTGAACTTATGTGCATTTCTATTAGGAGTGTATTTAGGAGTGGAATTCCAGGTTTGCATATATTTTAATTTAATAAATTCTGGCAAATATTTTCCAAAACATATGTATCAGTTGACACTTCCACTAGCAGTGTGCTAGAATTTTAGTTTCTCCATACTCTCTCCAATAGTTGGTATTGTCTGAATTTTCCATTTAATCATGCTGATGGATATGTATTGGTAAGTAATTCCAGCCAAAATGCAGTAAGACTACTGCAGTCTAGCTTTCCTATTGTTACAACTGAAAGCTCAAGACAAAATACAAAAAGGAAATACCTGGGACTTTGAAGAGAATACAAAAAACAGACAGGTTGGGAAGAATCAAAACTTGGGAGAAATGCCCCATTTTTTTGTTTATTTGTTTGTTTGTTTGTTTGTTTGTTTGTTTTTATTCCTGTTTTCTCTTACAGCTTTGACCTGAGACCTAGCACCTACTGAAACTGATGGCAGCACAGGCAGAAAATCTGAGAAACAATAAAAAGCCCCAACATATTTCTAGCCAGTTGAATGGTGGAAGGGGGCTTCTGTGAGCCAAAGTTTGTGGGAAATTTCCTGGCTTTTTCTCCATTTTTTCCCCCCTCTGGGTTTTTACCTAGGAGATAAGGCCTGGGATAGGACAGTTCCAACACCAAAAGAAACCCTATCTTTCTAGACAAGAGAGGTGGGAAAGTGGGCCCCTGTGGACTGAAGCGTATAGAGGTAATACAATTTTCCCCTTCCCTTTTCCCACCTCTTTGCCAGGTGTGGGTCTTAGTCAGCTTCTGTAGCTATGTAGGCAGCTGAAACTCCAAGAGATACCTCTAATTTTCCTGGCAAAAGGACCAGGAAAAGGGGACCCATAATTCTCTGTGTGGAACTACATAAGTTCTGTGTTCACCCTAAACTGAACACCTGAAGGACATAAAGATGCATAGCAAAAGATATGTGAACTAAACTACAATTCCAACTACTGCTTACATTCCAAAATAATGCCTGAGTGTTGTGCTAGTATGTATAGGACAGACTCAAAACAAAGCAAAGCCTCTGAAAACTGACCTGACACTGAACTGGCACCCACAGAAGATGAGACTGAATTTCTAATCTGAATCAAATTGGATTGATTGCTTCCTAAAATAAAATAAAATAAACCAGCATTCCCCAAAGGCTTTTAACAGGACTCAGAGCTGATGCAACCTAACATTCAAGTTGTCCAAGATAAAAATCTCAATTACACAATCTACATGGAATTAAAAAATATGATCGATTCTAAAAGAAAAATAAAATCAAAAGCTGTCAACCGCTAGATGACCAAAATGCTACAATGATCAAAAATAGACTTTAAAGTAGTTATAACTATAAAATAGTTGAAAACATTCTCTTTCAGGCATATGCTATGCTCTAAAAACGTTTTTACATTTATGTGTCCTAATCTATGCATAAGAATGTTTACACCAGCATTATTTGTAATAACAAACCTGGGCAAAAAACAAAGGAATATTACTAGCATACAGCAAAGAAACAACTGCTACAAGCAAGTATATGCAACAATCTGGGATGAATTTAGGATCATATTGTTGAGAGAGAAAAAAATTAACATCTGATTACATAGCTATCTTTATAAAGCTCAATTGTTCATCAAAGTAAACATACATGTGCATAAACTAAACTTTCAAAAGCAAAAGAATAAAGCCAAAATACAGAAGAGTGTTACCTCTGGAGGAAAAAAAGGGGATGGAAAAGAATAAGCCAATCAGAGAAAGACAAATACCATATGATCTCAAGCAATCTATCATCTATCTATCTATCTATCTATCTATCAAATCTATACACCTATCATCTGTCTATCTATACACACACATAGACACAGACAACAGTGTGATGATAGTCAGAGAAAAGTGGGGGGTCGGAGTTAGGTGGAGGTGGGCAAAGGTGGGGAGAATGAGAGGAAAGAGACTGCCTGGGGCTATGGGCGCACAATGCAGTGGGCAGATGGCGTTATTGAGTAGTACATGTGAATCCTGAATAGTTTTGCCAACCAAAACAGTAAAAAAAAAAAAAAAAAAAAAAAAAATATATATATATATATATATATATATATATATATATATATTACATTTTGGCAATATGCTTGTTTAAAAATTAATGGCCCATTTCCATGTGTACCCTGCTTATCTGTATTTATGTATCAAAACACAATAATTTTCTAAACGACATGGTATGTGCATAATAGAATAACATTTTCAACCTTTATTAAAATAAGTGTCCCCAAAACTTGGGCAACACACTGTTCCTGACCCTTTAACAGAAGCCTGAGCAACCAGCTATCCCAAGCCCCAGGCTGAAGACCATCACTCTGCCTTGGCCTACGTGGCTCCGCCCACCTGAGCTACTTCCTGTGCTGTTGGGTCCTCCCGCCTATAGCGGGCTCTCCAAGGCTTCCAGGGCCTAGAGGTCTCCCGCCTGGGGTGTCCCTGCGGCGCCTGTTAATTTAGCTCGAGAGACTACATTTGCATTATAACTCTTTTTGGGCCGGGGGAAAAAAAAATCGCCCAGGCATCATACCCTGGACAATAACATTTATATTCAACCCCGGCAGAGCGCCCCTATCATCAAACCCTGCCGCGGCGGTGGCGCGGAGTCAGGCGGCGCGCGGGCAGCCCCGGAGCACCCAAAGCCCCCGGCGGCGCGTTTTCCTCCGGCGAAGACGTAGCTGCGGGTGGCTGTGCTGGCGGCTGGCGGCCGGCGGCGTCCAAGATGTCGACCAAGAATTTCCGAGTCAGCGACGGCGACTGGATCTGCCCTGACAAAAAGTGAGTCCGGCTAGGGGCCCCGCGTTGGAGCGCGGCTTACCTACCGGTGACGTCTTTCTCACACCGGCTCGGCGTTTTCCCCTCTTGCACGGTCCCCGCCGCCTTCAGCCGGGAGGAGGCGGCGAATCGCAGGCTCCTGGGCGGGAAGGAGGCTCCCCGGCTCCTCACGAGGAGGGGCTTTCGGGACCCTCTCCCCAGCCTCTCCTCGCCCTGAGGTCTCCATGCCACACACACCCCCCCCCCTTGTTGGAGGGCGAGGCCGGCCGCCCGGTGACCCCCCACCCCTCCCCCGCCCCGCCGCGGCCAGGTACCCGCGATCCGGAAGCCGCCTTCGGCCGGGCCCGCTCGGTGCGGCTCCCTCACGTGACTTTCCCCGCAGAACTTGGGGTCGAGGAAAGCCTCTCGTTCTTTGGCTTCTCTCAGTTCACCTTTTTGGATTAAAAAAAAAAAAAAAAATTAAACGTTTCTTCGTAGCGCATGTATACCCTCCCCCCCCCCAAAAAAAAAAAAAACACAAAAAACACAAATACACAATAACAACGCTACACTTCTGTGGCGTGGGGCATTCTGACTTTTTTTCCCCTTTTATTTCCCCCACAAGAATTAAGCCTTTCGAGCCAAAAGGCCCGAAAGGCCTGTGTTTCTGCCCCGGGGAAGGCCTGCCGCAGACAAGCACGTGTTGCGATGGCTCTGCCTTGGATGGACATTGTTGCTGAAGTCATGGTGCCCCATCGGAGGGAGGGAGGGAGAGAGAGGGAGAGGGGGAGAGAGAGAGAGGGAGGGAGGGAGGGTGGTCTTCACCACAGGGCCTGGGAGCAGGGGTCTCTGGGTGTGTACATAGACGGAGGTAGCTGTGGGAAGCCCTGGTCCAGAGTATGGAACGCACAGTCCCTGTCCGGACCCAGGCCTTTGATTTCTTGTGCCACAGACAGGAGAGTTCACGGTGGGAAAAGAGGAAAAACACTTGGAAGCGCACAGACCTGGGTTTAATGTCAGCCCTTCTGCTCGTTACCCATGTTAACTGACCTCAAGGAGGTTATTTAACTTGAGTTAAAAGTAAAACCTGGAACAAATAAATACAACGAAATAGCGGGTGCAGTAAATAGCGGTGACGTGCAGCAAATGCTGATGGACAGCTCTTGGTGGTAGTTTTAGAAAATTAAGTCACCCGATGTCACTCAAGGAGATTTAAGGCCTTAGGTCCTCAGCATTTGTTTTCATACTTGAAGCAGTTTCAGGGAAACATGGTTTTTACAGAATCAGTTGATGGTTCCCAATTGCATAATATTCATAGCTATACTATTGATGGTGGCCACAATCTATAAATAATCCGAAGATTAATCTGTAATTGAAATGAATATTGGTACATTTATACAGGAGAAATATACTGTGTAAATAGAGGATCTAAATTTACATGAAAAATCATCAGTGAGTCTCCAAGCAAGATGTTGAGCAAATAGAATACGATAAAGTATTTTTTTTATAAAAGGGCAATTGCATAAAAATTAAGATAACCTGAAGAATTTCAAGTCCGCTTGACGATCTAGAACAAGAACAGGAGTGATGTGCTATGAATAGCATTGCTCCTGCAGATAAGACTATTTGAAAACATTCAAAGGGTAATCAACAATGTCTCTCTTGTGGTGTTGGTCACTAGTAGAATAAAGTGCTTTTGGTGGCCTCATTAATGCGACACACCCAGATATTTAAGGAGGTCTCTCAGTTACAGACATGTGGCTAGAATATTATTTCAACAATCTATATAAATCCAGGGAACACTTCAGAATGTGTTTGGGTCAGAACAGATATTCTTGGGCATTGGGTGGGGAACCAAAAAGTTATTTGGATGCTTTGGTATAGAGATGATGCCATACTTTACATCTTTATTTTATTCCAGTATAATAGCAAAAAACAAAAAAAACGGTTTTTAAAATTATTCAAGTTTTACGTGTTAGACATTTAACATTCTGTTACTGATGTGCACATGCACTATTCAGGCCATGTTAGTGAGTCCAATATATTTTTTGTTTTTATTTAAGTCTATAAACTACTAGAGGCCTGATGCATGAAAATCTGTACAAGATTAGGCCTTCCCCCCCCCCATCTGCTGGCACCTGGGGCTAGGGCTGGCTTCCCTGGGGCCCTGGCTTCCTCAGGAAGGACATCCTATCTAATTAGCATATTACCCTTTTATTATTATAGATAAGTGTAAAGTGATAGTATTAAATCTATGTGTTGAGCCAAAACTGGTTTGGCTCAGTGGATAGAGCATCGGTCTGTGGACTGAAAGGTCCCAGGTTCAATTCTGGTCAAGGGCATGTACCTTGGTTGCGGGCACATCCCCAGTAGGGGGTGTGCAAGAGGCAGCTGATCGATGACACTCTCTCATCGATGTTTCTGACTTTCTATCTCTCTCCCTTCCTCTCTGTACAAAATCAATAAAATATATTTTTTTAAAAATATATGTGTTGAGGTTATTGGGTGTGATTATAATTTTTTAAAGTTAGCTTTCAGAGGTTTGGTAATAAAAAAAACAAAACTCCCATTTCCTTATAATTATTAACCTATGTATAGTTTTTAGTCAGAATCCATCTATCTTTCCTTACTGTCCTACCCTCTACTTGTAAAAAGTTTTTTTTATCAAGATCCATGAAGCCCTCTATGATTTATTTTCTCTCCATTGGCCTACCCTTAGGATTTTGTGTTTCTTATAATACTTAATACATTTGTGTGTGTGTATCTTATTTTCTGTATTGAGAATTACTTTAAAGTTTTTTGGAACTCCCACGTACCTTGTCAGTAATTGTAAGTGGAGCCATATCTTACCTCAGCTTTGCAAGGGGATTTTATTAAAATTACAGTTATATTGCCTGGCTCAGTGGGTTGGTGCTTAATCCTGTTCACAATTTGCTTCCAGGTCCAAACTCTGCCATACCTGGGTTTTAGGTCTGATCCCCAGGGTTGGGCATGTAGGGGAGGCATCCGGTAGATGTATCTCCCTCAAATCAATACTTTTCCCTCTGCCTCCTTCTCTCTTTCCCCTCTCCCCCTCTCATCCTCCCTCTTTAAAAATCAATTTTAAAAAATCCAGTTATATGCAACTTAACTGCAGGACAATGTTCAGAGAAATGTCATTAGGCCATTTTGTCATTGTGCAAATACAGAGTTCATGTACACAAACCTAGGTGGTATAGCCTATTTACTACACACTGAGGCTATATGATATATAGCCCATTGCTCTTGGGCTACAAGCCTATCTAGCATGTTAGAACACAAAACAACACAAGATTAAATCAATCAGTAATATAGTCATTTATTGTCATTATCAAGTATTATGTACTATAAATGACTATATGTGCTGAATTTTTTTTAAATATATATTTTATTGATTTTTTACAGAGAAGAAGGAAGGTGAATAAAGAGCTAGAAACATCGATGAGAGAGAAACATCGACCAGCTGCCTCCTGCACACCCCCCACCAGGGATGTGCCCGCAACCAATGTACATGCCCTTGACTGGAATCAAACCTGGGACCTTTCAGTCCGCAGACCGATGCTCTATCCACTGAGCCAAACTGGTTTCAGCTGTGCTGAACTTTTATACTGCTGGCAGTGTAGTAGTTTTGTTACAACATCATCACTACTTGGGTTGTAGTAAGAAGTCACTAGGCAATAGGAATTTTTCAACTCCATTATGATCCTATGGAACCACTGTTGTATGTGCTGTTCATTGCTGACCAAAATGTTATTTGGTGCAAAATTGTAATGACATGCACTAACAGGACACTGAGTCATAGAGATCCTAAGTGACTTACCAGGATTACATAAGTAGAAAGTGAGATACTGAGTTTCTTATCCTGCACTTGTGACTTTGAATCGTACATTTTCCCACTAAATTGAGACTTTAAAAAAATATATATTAATTACATGGCTTTAGAATGGACTTAGATGGCATTAGAATTTCTGGATCCAGGTATATTGTGAGGGAGGACACGTTTGAAAGTTGTGTATATAGAATTTTAAGAAATTATATTGATTTAAAATTATCTAAATATTTTTCATTTTATTTTCAGATGTGGAAATGTAAACTTTGCCAGAAGAACCAGCTGTAATAGATGTGGCCGGGGTAAGCATAGGAAGCTTTTATTAGGACAGTATATACAGATAATTTCGGTATTTCCCCAAATTCATATTGCATAATTTTTCTATTTTCAGAGAAAACAACTGAGGCTAAGATGATGAAAGCAGGGGGCACTGAAATAGGAAAGACACTTGCAGAAAAGAGCCGAGGTCTATTTAGTGCTAATGACTGGCAGTGTAAAACGTATGTGTTTATTATCATCCACTCTTCTTCCATAAAAGTATATCTCATTACTTGTTAATGTTATCAACTCTTATTAGTCACATTAACAAGCCAAGGTCACCTTTAAATCAAAGGTATGTTATTGTTATTCAGTCTATATCTTCTATATAAGTGTAAAGAACTATTAAGTTCTATTTTTTAATGGTGATATTAGTTGTTACAAGGATAGGGTATGTATACCAATAAACATGCTTTAAGGTGAGCTGACATTCCAAAAAAGTCTACTTATATTACTGAAAAATCTCAAAAATTATTATTAATGTGACATGCACCACAGAATTTATTTTGCCTGTTTTCAAAGTAATTTTAGAATAGTGTGTGCCATAATAATTATTCTAATTAGATAGATTTCTTATTATATTTAAGTTCTATATTGATTTTTCCAATTTCCATTTTTTTGTGTTGTGCACATGAATCAAATATATAAAAGGATTTCATCAGAAGGGGGTCTTATATAAATTTCTGATCCTATAGATATTAATTTGTGCAGAAGAATTTTCCAGCAACAGATTAAGACTGGGTTTGGAATTCAGTACTTGAACTGACTCCTCAAAAAGGAAAAAAATTACCCTTCTTTGAGGTGAATTCAGAGGCAGAAATTAGTAGAATCTTTGACTTAAAATGTTTTTCCCCTAAAGTATCAGAATCTAAATATGATGTCATTTCTTTTTCATAAATTGAGAAAGGCACCATACTATATTGCTTTTGCTTCTTTGCTTAAATAATTAGAATCCACATTCTCTCAGAAAAAAAGTTCAATGGTACATTTTCCTTGTTTGCAATATTCTTAGTAAATTATGGTAGTTATTTCATCCTAGTTTTTACTTTAAAATTCTAGACTGTTTAAAAATTTACTATTTCTCTTATAATTATCTACTAACTTGGTATTTTTAACTTTTAAAGTTGCAGTAATGTGAATTGGGCAAGAAGATCAGAGTGTAACATGTGTAATACTCCAAAGTATGCTAAGTTAGAAGAAAGAACAGGTAAGATAAAAGCACATTCTAACAATGATTTCAAAAGAACTAAAAGTTGAATTGACAAGTTATATATCATCTGAAGAGCACAGTGATTGAAAATTCTTTCTGTTCTACTTTTATGGGTGTTTTTTTTTTTTCCTTAATTTTTCCCCCCTCATACTCATAAAAATCAGTATTTTAATAGAATAGCGTAATTTTTGAATTTTACAATTTACAAAATACAGCATTAGGAAGCTGTAACCTAACATACGGTAATATTACAATACATTTAGAAATGCTTTATTTACTCCCTTTCCCCCACTGATCTAAATGTTTATTATCCTATACTAGAGGCCCAGTGCATGAAATTGTGCATGAGTGGGGAGTGTGTCCCTCTGCCCGGTTCCGGCAGTCGGATATTCCCTCTTGCAATTCAAGACCACTGGCTCCTAACCACTCCCCTGCCTGATGCCCCCAACTGCATTCCCCTGCCAGCCTGATTGCCCCTAACTGCCTCTGCCTTGGCTTCCACCACCATGGCTTTGTCTGGAAGGAAGTCGGACAACCTGAAGATGGCCAGTCTATCGGTCTAATTAGCATATTACTCTTTCATTAGTATCCTATATAATAAAGAGCTAATATGCAGATGGTCATCATGCTCTTGCACTGGGGTCAGGGGACCTGAGGCTATGCTCCCTGCCCAATTGCTGGGGCTTGGGCCCTGAGGTTGTGCCCCCTGCCCAATTGCTGGGCCAGGGGCCTGAGGCTGTACCTCCCTGCCTTGTGGGGCTTAATGGGTGTGGGGCCGGCCAGGTCTGGGTCTTGCTTGATTTCGAGGTGTGTACGAGGACTTGACTCTGGGTCCTGCGGCATGCTCCAGACTCTGATAGGAGGGAGATTTTCATATACATTTTACTGATTTTTTTTCATCTCTGACACATCTATTATAGAGACAGGGCACATAGCAACATTAAAATATTTCCTCTAATTAATTCCCTTTTAATGTGCACGAATTTCATGCACCAGTCTACTAGTAGATAATAAAAGACTAATATTCAAATCAACTGAATGGCAGAATGACTGGTCACTATGACGCATACTGACCACCAGGGGCAGATGCTCAATACAGTAGCTTCCCCCTGGAGTCAAGCTGGGCTCACAGCTGGCGATCAAAGCGGCAGTGGTGGGAACTTCTCCCACCTCTGTGACAGCACTAAGGATGTCAGTTGGATATCTCCCTCTCACACCCGCCCTCCGCCCCCCGAGTGCACAAATTTCATGCACTGGGTCTCTAGTATCTTAATAATCTCTTTGTTGTCAACAGATCATTTAGGTGGTTTTTCTGTGGCCTGTATGAAAGAACATGAAAATAGCTTTGTATTTGCTATGATATTTATATTTAAGTAATTTCTACTTATTTATATATGCAAAATTACCTATTTGGATTATAGTTCACTTTCTAAATTTTGGCTATAATGTATTCTTTAGCTCTCCATTTATCAAACTACTCATACTTTAATCTTGGGATGTACTGATACAGTTAACTATATTTAGAGACAGACTGTATTGTTGAATTATAACTTTTCATTGTGTTTGTAATCCAGATTAAAATTGAATGTGAGTAGTTCTCTTGAAATGAACATAACCCACTTGTGCTTAGTTCTGTCTTTTTATGATATTCCAAAAAAACTACAGCCAAAATGTTACGGAAAAGTTATTTGTATTTAATGCACTTTTACTCACGTTATATGGACAAAAAGAAAAGGAAATTTTTCCATTGGAGTGCATATTGCCTCTGAAACAAGGTAGGAAGAGGAAGAAAGGGATGATATGCAAGTATTTCAAAGATAAACATTAATACATTGCAATTTTTACTGATACAAAATATAATGAAGAAAAGAATGTTAAAAGAAAGAAGATGATACTTATTATGCTATTCTATTAAAACAGAGCCGTTCCACTATTCATGGCAGTTAATGAAATGATAATAGGATAATGATTATTCTTTTAATGCCCATGTTTGATAATTTTAAAGTTACAAATTCCATATTAAAAGTATTTGTTCGCAAGTTTAACATTTTTTTCTGGTTCCTAGGGGGAGACCATCTAATTGTAGGTGTTAATTGTGACATTAAAGAATAATGGTTTGCTGATCTTGATTAATTTTTAATAGAATATTTTCAGTTCAAAAGTTAATTGGCTGCTTAGAGAACCTTCAGTAACTTTTACCTCTGTATTCATTAAAAGCAGTTTGTATCTCCATTATCATTTTGCCTGGTATAATTTGTAATTTTAGCCCAGCAATATTTCAATTTATCAAGACTGCAGAATATCTGCGATTGGAAAACAGTGAAATTTGATTCTTGATTCTTGTTTAGGCCAATTCACCCAAAGAATTAAATTACGATAAACTACCGAGAAGAGTCCTTTTTACTTTTTAACCTTTGTTATACCAGAGTTTTGAGAAGATGGAAGTGTAGTGACAGGACTTCCTAACCTTTAAGTATCTCACATTGAGACTTCTCTTGTAGTGTGTGTGTTTTTAAATAATGCTTTTTAAAATACTAGTATTATATGCACAAGCAAATCTCATTGGTAAGATTTTTTTTTTTTTCTATTGCTTGGAGACAATTTTGAGGAGTTTTTTTATTTTCCTATTTTAATGAATTGTCAGGATAACAATTTATGCACTTCTTATTTTAGGATATGGTGGCGGTTTTAATGAAAGAGAAAATGTTGAATATATAGAAAGAGAAGAATCTGATGGCGAATATGATGAGGTAATAAGCTATGCATTAGTGTGCAGTTTGAATACAAATTAGAAAGTATCTTAAGTGCAAAGGAAAAATATAAATGTATCTTATTTTTGTAAGTACATTTTGAGTCTTACAAAAACTTACATTGTAGGAAATCATAATTGACTTTATATAATTGGCATAATGGACCTAAAGTACAAATTTCTTTTTTAGAAAAAAGTGTTAATACATTTTTAGCTGACTGAAATATTATGAAATTTTTCTCTAGTTTGGACGTAAAAAGAAAAAATACAGAGGGAAGGCAGTTGGTCCAGCATCTATTTTAAAGGAAGTTGAAGATAAAGAATCTGAGGGAGAAGAAGAGGATGAGGATGAAGATCTTTCTAAATATAAATTGGATGAGGTAAGTGGTTTCCTTTTTCCTCCTTTGTTATTTCAGCTATGACATAACATGAATGTTTTTTATTACCTTTGGCCTGTGGCGAAGATATGTTCTGGCTGTATACTCAATTTATTCTCACAAAAGTTTTAAGCTTTCACTCTGCCAAGCACTATTCTGGCTCTGGAAGTACAATAATGACTGAGACAGAAACACTCTTCATTTAGTGGAACTTAAGTAAATAAAGGTTCCCTGATTAGGAAACAAGACACTAGCATTTTTTTAAAAATCAACATAGACTAGTGTGACTGGAGCAAAGGGAAGAATGTGGGATGGCAGCGACCATATCAGGTCTGGCGTTTGTTCTGTGGGCCTAGTGTAAAGTTTTATGGTTGGATTATAGGTCTAGATAAAGATCATAAGAGGCCCTTGAATGCAACTAAACAAATGAAAGTTTTTAAGAAACAAAGTATCTGACCTGTATTTCAGAGTGATGAGTGTCAGTATACACAGACTGTTGAACAACACGGGTTTGAATGTGCACATCTACTTAGACACAGATTTGTTTTTCTGTGTTTTATACATGTATTATAATGTATTTCTTTTTCTTGTGATGTTCTTAACTTATTTTCTCTATATTTATTTATTATAAGAATACAGTATGTAATACATATACCGTATAAAATGTGTTAACTGTTTTCTGCAAGGCTGTTGGTCCATAGGGTGTTACTGCTTCGGTTTTAAGGGAGTCAAAAATTATGCCCGGGTGTCTCTAACCTCTGCATTGTTCAAGGGTCAACTTGAACATTGAGATAATTGGGGAGGCAGAATAGATTGTCTTAATTAGAGAGATCACATAAAAGGTTACTGTATCAGTAGAGAATGAAGAGTAAAGGGTATGGATTCAATGACTTTCATGAGTAAAATTGAAAATTCTTGACAGCTTATTTGATACTACTTTATGACAGAAAAAGAGGAAATAAGTACTATGAGGTTTACCTCTTTGAAATATTTGAGATACCCTGTTTCCCCGAAAATAAGACAGTGTCTTATATTAATTTTTGCTCCCAAAGATGCGCTAGGTCTTATTTTCAGGGGATGTCTTATTTTTCCATGAAGAAGAATATGGTACACATTTATTGTTAAATGAAAATAAAGGAAATTTATTACCTGTATATGGTACGGTAGTATGGTAGTTGTCAACACAAACCAGACAAACTGTGAATCCTACAGTATCAAGAATTTACTCATTTATTCAATGACAATCATGTCATCATCTTCTGGAACATCATCATAACAATGCAATTCTTGAATTTCCTGGTGAATTTCTTGTGACTCCATTTCTTTCAGAATCAGTGGACCAAATCTCTCATATTTAGCCTAGGGGAGCCTTATTTTCGGGGGGGGGGGGGGGGAGGGGGGGGCGGGGATGCCTTATATTTCACTCAGAAGGAAACCTGTAAGTAGGTCTTATTTTCGGAGGATGTCTTATTTTCGGGGAAACATGGTAGTTAAGTCTGCTTAGCTCAAGAGTGAATTTGCTGAGATATTTGTGATGTATGTCCATATGGTGATGTCCAATACATAGAACTGTTCATCATCCCTATTAGATAGCATTAATATCTAAATGTCAAAAATAATTGATTCTGAGTTTTTGTTAGGATGAGGATGAAGATGATGCTGATCTCTCAAAATATAATCTTGATGCCAGTGAAGAAGAAGATAGTAATAAAAAGAAATCTAATAGACGAAGTCGCTCAAAGTCTCGATCTTCACATTCACGATCTTCATCACGCTCATCCTCCCCCTCAAGTTCAAGGTCTAGGTCCAGGTAAACGGGTACAGGTCAAGGGTAACATCAGTCAAAATGTCAGTATCTAACTTCTTTATTTATAAATTTTGTTTTTATTGACTGAATAAGTTTTCCTTTTATTTCAGAGATTTTGTTCAAGTCACCTTGTAAAAAATATTTTTTTAGTGCCTTGAAGTTACTGTCCAGTATTTTCAGAAATGCAAATTTTAATATGAAACTTCCTCATTCCATTTATCTCCAGACTTTTTATTAAAATAGACTTTAAAGATCTAATTAAATTATTACATAAAGTGTATTATCTACCTATACAGTTTATATTTAGAAATTTTTAAGTGGATATTTGTTTTCACTGGTAAAGGCTAAAATAGAAATATTCTAGGCCTTAATTAAGTTTTTGCTTATTTTACATAGGGTTTAGATAATTTACTTTGTTATAGGTATTCTGAATAAAGGAGAAAATTTCAGTCATTTAAGTTCTATTAATTTTGAGATGTTCAGGAATAAGTAAAAGGAGTCAATTGGTTGTGTACTTGAATATTGTTTTATTAGTAATGTAAAATTTTAGTAAATATTTCCTGATTGAGTAGTCGATAATGAATAAAATTTTATGTGAGAAAAATCAGTGCTTTGTATAAACTGTTCCCTTGAAAAATTTTTATTCATAGTTTAAGTTAATCAACACGCAATGAATGTTTAATGTATTTAGGAAAAATTATTAGCTAATTGAATACTTAACTAGTTAAAGCTTAAAATCCATTGATTCTAAATATAATTTTAAGATGAAAATGTTACATTCTTTTGCTGCAGACTATTTTAAGGAACAAATTAAAGGTGTAAGATTAGTACTGAATTGTACTTCTGTTGTGACTTCTGAAATTTAAGTGGACCATATCTTCCCTGTGTCATTTTTCAGTAATATAATTTCCCAGAACAATGACAGCGTTGTTAATATATTTAACTTTAATTCTCTAACATTTGAGCAGGAAGAAAAATAGGGTTAAACAAACATACGCATGTCAACATTTAAAGCTTCATACTAAATAGTGAACATGGAAATGGAAGGAATTTTATAAGAAAAATTAATAGATATTCCAGAGAGTTAGTTAAACATAAACTGTAAAATTCGAATTCTTGGCTATGTTAAGTCCTGTTAAATTACTTTTAAATATTGTAAATGTAAAGTATTCAGTATTAATAAAATGCTTTAATTTGTACAATCTTGAGTAATATTTAGAGTAATTTTCTTGTACTTGAAAAGTGATAGTTGATTATTTTCAAAAAATTGCCTATATCTTTTAAGTTTTTGCATAAAGGTCAAAACAAAAAGTTACTTTAAAATAATTGTTATGAAAATATATATCAAATAGTTGTCCTTTTACATGAAAATGAATTCTAATGCATATCTTTCTTCCAGTGTTCATATCACAAAGTTCAATTAAGTGGACCTGGAAAAAAAAAATTCTTCCATGTTGTTCCAGGTCCCGTTCAAGAAGTTCTTCCAGTTCGCAGTCAAGATCTCGTTCCAGTTCCAGAGAACATTCGAGATCTCGTGGGTCGAAATCAAGGTGAATGAGGTAGCATCTCTCTGTAAAGCAGAGAGGAAAAAGTATTTAAAGGCCGCAGAAGGTGTTGCTGCTTTTTTTTCTCTTATTTTGCTTCTACTTGTCAATTTTATTTTAGCTTTAGAAAGCTAATGCACTTGCCTTGGCTTAATTTTCTCACCATGAGATGTTTCCATTGCCTGCAGTGTGCCAAGACATTCCCATGATTAAATTAAGGTTATTTTGCATTATGCAAGGTTTGTTATCCGTGCTAAAATGTGATGAGTAGGAAGATAGAGCCAAGTCTTACTATCAAATATTTCAAAAGTTATGTTTGCAGTAGTAGTTCAAATAAAATTAGATATATGCAAATAAAAAGGAAATGTTTATTCTTTTTGTTTTTTGTTAATCCTCACTGGAGGATATTTTCACCTTTGATTTTTAGAGATTGGAAGGGAGAGAGAAGGGGGAAGGTGACACACACACCTACACCCCTACACCTTCCCACATTCATCCTGAATGGGGCAGGAATCTGCAGCCCATGTATGTGCCCTTGACCAGACTCAAACCTGTGACCCTTCCAGTATGCAGGAACACTGGCCAGGGCTTTTCTTTTTCATTTTTAAAAGGAAGGAAAATAAGTTCGTCCCAAAACATTTTGTTTTACAAGGCAATTGTTTCAATATTTACTGAAATGATTTTGTTATTTATATCAGATAAAGTTTCTGGGGGGTCTTATTTATTTTCATTTCTCTGTGATATTACATAAACTATTACAAGCAGTATGTAAGAGCAGAGACACTCCTCTTAAATTCCACAAACTAAATCAAGAAGTTGGTTGGTTAGTCTAAGTAGTGTGTGGTCTTAAGTAATATTATTGTTAATTCTAAGTTGCGTTTAGTTATACAATTAATAAAAAAGCACATAAGACACTAGTTTTTCTAAACATTGTCAAAATATACTGCATCTCATTTTTAAGTTAATTTATTGACCTAGTAATGGCATCTAACATTAATAAGGAAAACAAAAAATTCCACTTGTGTGGAACTTTACACTGAAGTTCCACTCCAAAGGAGTGGTAGCTCCTTTGGTAAAATAATGGCATAATAGCTTATTAGAGCCAAGTATATAGCATTAGAGGGCAACAACAGTTTACAACATTAAGAAGAAAAGAATGATATGCACATTTGTGTTACTCCAATACAAAAAGAGAGCAAATGAGTTTATTGTTGTTACTGTGGTGATGATGTATATTTACCATTGTTTTAGTCTTTTGAGTGCTTCATAGGTGAAGATAAGTCCTACTTCCCTTCAGGAAGCACTGTAATAAGGTTTACAGAACAGCCTTTATATTCTTTCCAAACATTTTTTCATTGCTTATAACTTTCCAAAGAATTCTCCTTTTGGGCTTTCTAAGTTTATTTTAAGCCCAAAGGTGAATTTTTTGGGAAGTTTGAGCTAAATTACTTCAACCAAAATATGTAAATGAAGAAAAAATTGCATTTAAACATTTGCATGTTTACCACTACCTAAAACATGTGAATGTCAACACTTCATACTTCATGAATAGTGGACCTTCATAAAAATAAATATTGCTGATATAAAGTTTTAAAGTAACTCATTTTATTTTTCTTTGAAAATTTAGCAGTTTAATATTTGTGTTTTTCTCGCTTCTGTCCCCTTTCCCTGCTTTTTCTATAGCAACTTAACTAATAAGTTTTATAATTCCTCAAGGAATTGTTATGTTTACTTTTCTCAGAAGGTTGTGTATATCTGATACATATTTTTCTCCAATGGAAGGATATATTTTCTAGACAAAGTGTGTAAAGGCACAGTTTACCTGTTGGTTTTGCTGTTTATGTATACTTTAAAATGAAAGCCTTACGTTTAAAAAAAATTCTACTTTAATATATTGGGCTGGTTGTTAGTCATAAGTAGTAAACATTTATCTTACAATTTTATAAAGAGATGAGATTAAAGTAAATGTATTTAAATAGAATTATTTTTATGGTTGAACCAGAAGTCTTCTGTTGGTTAAGCAGTAAGTATTTCTTCTCAAAACATTTTTGGTTATAAATCCTGTTTGTTTTTGGAGCTTTTAACTAAATCATCTGCCTCATTTCTTCTTTTAATGAAATGTTTGATTTGTTTCTCAATCAATGAAGATCCAGCTCCAGATCCCACAGGGGCTCTTCTTCCCCACGAAAAAGATCTTATTCAAGTTCATCATCTTCTCCTGAGAGGAACAGAAAGAGAAGTCGTTCTAGATCTTCATCTGGTGATCGCAAAAAAAGACGAACAAGATCACGGTCACCCGAAAGGTTTGGGTTTCTGTAGAAATAAGAATGGATGTTCTTAAGTGTGTTTAATAGATTAACTTCTAGTCCAGGATTAATTTTTATAATCTCCATTAGTCTAACTTTAAATTATACTTTTCACTTTTCAACTTTAAACTTCAAAAAACATTAATTACTTTGTTTACCTTTGTGCTTTCATTAGGTTATTTAGAAAAAGTTGTAGATCAAGCCACTCTTCTATCAGTTCATTTTATTGCTTAAATACTTATTTTCATATATAATTATAGCCAACTCTTGGTTATTTCTGTCTTAAAATTTTAATTTAAAAGCTGTGAGTTGAAGTAATTGAGTTGATTTTACATGTATTTAATATTATAAATTTTACATTAAATATTAGAAATGAGTTTTTAGGGCATCTAGAAAAAATAATAATTCTAGATCATTGGGAATCTGTCCTCATTTAAATATGTGTAAATGCATTTTCACAGCAAATTATTGTTTCATACTCTCTATAAGGAAATTGTTCTTGTAGTTAATACATTTTTCATCTTGCAGTACAAATCCGCAATTCAAATCCATCCCCCCACACACAAACACAACTTTTTCTTTCTTTTTTTTTTTTTTTTGAGAAAGACCATTACTTGATTATGTTATTTATGTGGACATTTTTTAGTTTGGAGAGCAAGTCATCTGTCAGCCTTTCTTATAACAGGCTAATTAATTAACTTTCCTCTTGATTCTCAACATCTACTTATACAGTCAATTTAATGGCTTTCTTTGTATCCTTGGCAAAATTTTTCTTATTCTTCTTGTGAAAGTAATGATTAGGTAAAGTCTGATTGCTGGGTTTAGTGGTAGGATGCCTCCTGATTCCTATTTGTACAGAATGATTAGTTTTGCTTCTTCACATTTTGAAGTTTAGATACAAGGTTACACATAGCTAGTCTTCTTTCTCTGCATTTGGTGGTTTTTGTTTTGTTTTGTTTTGTTTTGCGGGGCGGGAGGTTTGTAAGAAAATAACTCCATACTTGAGTGAAATTCATTCTGTTGATTTCTTGATACTCTGCAAATTTTTATTTTAGCCACATAAAATCCCCCTAGTTTGTTGTCATCTAAACTTAATGAACATGTTCTCTATTCCATAAGCCAGGTGATTGGTGAAAACACTAAACAACCCTGAGTCCAGGGCCAACTCCTCGGAACACCACTACTTTACCCAGGTTAATATATTGACTTATTCATATTAGCTGCATAAATGTAACCTTTTAACGAGTTGTATAATCATCTTGTGAGACCTTGATTTCCAAAATGTGGTTATTTATGAATATATATTCTCATACACAGTCAGAAACCTTGCTGTATCTGTTTTACATATAGACTTACCACACTATCTACAGTGTTTTTTTTTTTGTTGTTGTTGTTGTTGTTTTGTTTTTTAATATATTTTATTGATTTTTGTACAGAGAGGAAGGGAGAGAGATAGAAAGTTAGAAACATCAATTAGTCATTGATCAGCTGCCTCTTACACACCCCCTACTGGGGATATGCCCGCAACCAAGGTACATGCCCTTGACTGGAATCGAACCCGGGACCCTTCAGTCCCCAAGCCCAACGCTCTATCCATTGAGCCAAACCGGTCCGGGCACTATCTATAGTGTTATCAGAGATTATTTTAGTTACTCTCTCATCAACAAGTTTATATGCCTTTGTTGAATATTACCTGTATTTTTACATATTTTTGCAAGGCTTTTTTTCCTTAAATAATTGAGAGGTGGCTATATTTTGAAATGAGAGATTTTTTTTAATTTTAGAGAATTTTAAATTATACTGTTCCTGGGCTCACATCCAAAGTCTAAACACTATGATTTTATGTGTATAAATTTATGTCTTAGATTTTAATTAATTTTTTCTAGTATAATTAGGTTTGATTTTTGTATGTTCTCAAAGTCTTATAATGAATGATGTCCAACTCAAGCTTATTAAGACTACCTGCTTTCTCTATTATATCTTACAGGCACCACAGGTCATCTTCTGGATCATCCCATTCTGGTTCCCGTTCAAGTTCAAAAAAGAAATAATGTATTAAAATTTACATCTTAAAAAAAAAAAAAAAAAAGTCCAGTACAGTGCATGAAGCATATTTTTTAAGAAGTTGGTGTCTTACTTGGTCAAAAGTGCTAAGTCTTCTATAATAGTAGAGGTGCATGCCTTTCATTGCTTTTCAGAACAATACAGCTGTGTTTATTTGTGAAATTAAAAGTAAATAGTATTTTAAGCCATAAAGTCCCAAAATAGTTGCTCTATTTATCATTCTTTATTTACAGCTATTTTCTTCAAACCATCTCATCTATAACAAAGTACTTTGTTTCTTTTTGTTTTTACTTTGTTTCCTAATTTGAACTCATGTTTTTTTCATTTCCAAATAGAAATTGTTTACTGACTTAAGGTTACCTTAGGCTTGCCTGAACTTTGGGTATAGAGGCAAGATTGTAGTGAAGTAGTTGGAAAAAGTCTGTTTACGTTAATCTGAGAAAAGGAGTCAGCCTCTTTATGTAATCTATGTCAAAGTGATTCTTCTCAGAAAAAAATTAAACTAATTGTAAAACAGCCAACTAGAAACAATCTTAAATTCCCTATGCTAAGGGTGCCTTAGAATCATTGTCTTTTATTCAATTTTGTTTTTTGCACCACATTTAATGCAGAAAAATCTTGTGAATTGTAGAAGGAGAAAGATGTTCCATATTTCTCACTCTCTGACATAATTTTGAGCAAGAATATCTAATAGTTCATTTCTAATCTGATACGATTGTCTGATGAGAAAAACATCTTATTTCAAAATGTTTATCTTAATACTTTAAGAAGCTTGTGTGATGTCTTTTAAAAATCCATTTATCACATATGATAGGTTAGACAAAGCTAAATTGTAGTTAATGAAGAAAGCTTCTGAAATATAGTTCTCTTTGGGTGAAAGACCACAAAGACATTATTAATTTAAGCAAACCTTTGCAGTGAGGTGTTTAACTTTAAACACTTGATAAAATTTTCTTGAGTAATGAATGAATATTTATTTCTGGACGAAACAAGCAGAAATAATTGTTCCTGTTCACTTGAAATTACTTATGGCTTAAAATACTTTGAGTTTGTTTTATTTCTCAAAATTAAAATATGGTCACGAGCTTTATGGTGTCTTCTGGTTTAAAAACAAAAGGTTTCTCTCAACAGTATCTTCAGTGACAATGCAAGGTAAGTATGTTAAGGAAAATCAGCAGTTGTGCTTGAGGACTTTTTGTCATGGGGATCAATACCCATTCTTGTTCTGTTTTGGGGGGGTGTTTTTTTGAACAGTAATGTCTGCTGCGATTAAAAACTAAATGCTTTAAAGTATTTTATAGACAGACCAAACAAAATTATATTTGTTTCTTTATTTTAAAATAAGTGATTTTTCTCTTCACTTGATCTAAAGATAAAATCAAATCTTATGTAGAAATATTTTGATAATATTTTTACAGTGAACTTGCCCCTTATTTTTTTGTCTCAATTTTCTTTCCTACATTTACTGTAGTTTGCACAAGAACTTTTCTCTCTTGTAATTGTGCCTCAGACTTCTTGAAAGTCCACCTCCTAAAATGCCCAAATGATCTTTTAGATTCTACATGTTACTATTGGTTTATTCTTGTGCTTTCTGTATTTAAACTTTGGCTGTACTAAGTAAATGCAAGATTATAAATTTAGCTAATAGTTGTTTACAGACAATTCAGATGATTATGATTTCATTTGGTTTAACAAAGCTGTAGTAGTCCATAAGGAAATGATGCTGTAGACAAATGTAAATAAAGCTTGTGAGTCAAGCATCAAGTGGTGTTTGTTAGAAATAAATTAGAATTTTTAAATGCTGATTTAATGTTCATTTTTAAAGCTATTTGCAGTCTTGTTTGTTCTTAGTGTGCATTTTAAACACTTTTATGTTCACTTACCCTGTATGTAATGTCATCTTATTTTCATATAGGAGTGCTTGGTTTAAAACATTACAAAGCATTAACACTAACACTTTGGATACTCGAAAATTTTTGAGACTTTTTAATGTAGATTTTAAATTAGTTTAATACTTTCTGCCAGAACACTACATATCTTATTTCATAACACACCATAGCATGCTTCCTGAATTACTTTTTTTTTTTTTTTCAAAGATGGAGAAAGAGAGAAACATCAATGATAAGAGAGAATCACTGATCAGCTGCCTCCTGCATGCCCTACTCTGGTGATCAAGCCCAAAATCCAGGCATATGACCTGACTGGGAACAGAGCCTGTGACCTGGCTCCTGGATCGATGCTCAACAACTGAGCCATGCTGGTCAGGCTCTGAATTACTCTTAAAGCTCACTTTATTGCACTCAATAACTGTTCTTTTTAACTGCTAAGCTATTTTAAGTTTCTATTTGCAGTCCTTTCACCAAGTACAGAGTAAGTCCTAAACGTAAGGCCATCTCTAGGCACATTTATCAAGATAAAATAAGTCTTGTCTCAAAAAAGTTTCCTGTCTTATCTCCTTTTGCTATGTGGCATTCATAGAATGTCTTATAGATCTTGGTAAGAAGATAGGTAACTAAAAGTCAGTTTAAGGTATGTAATAAGTGGTTTACAGGTATTATTTAATTTTCTCTGTCACCCTTACATATGTCCCATTTAACATAAAAGAGGATTACACAGCTTAAAGAAATTAAAAACTTATTCAGGGGAGCCACAGGTGTGGCTGAATGGGGATTAAGCCCCAAATCTGATGGCAAAATTCAGTATTACCTATGGTAACCAAATAACCTTTTTGAGAAATTTAATGTTAAGCCAAAATGGTCAGTTTTTTTTTATTTTTTTATTATTATTTTTTAGTTGTTTTTTTAATCTAGTGATTTTATAAGAAGGTGATAATATCAGTCATGTATAGGAAGATAGGTAGACATGTTCAGTTTGTGGAATACCTTAAATTTACAGAAAAGTTGTGAAGATTATAGAGTTTCTATAAATTCTCCATCTAGTTTCTACCATCATCAAGACATTACCACATATTTTTGTCAAAACTAAGAAAGCAGCATTGGTATATTATTACTGTCAGATTTTATTTGAATTTTACCATTTTTTCATTACTTGCTCTTAGATCTAATCCAGGTGCCACATTTTCTTCTCTGGTCTGACTTTTTTTTTTTTTTTTTTGCTTTTGATGACTGACAATTTTGAGGAATAGTGGCCGGATATCCTATAAAATGTCCTCTCATTTTAAGGTTGTCTGTATATTTCCTTGTTATTAGACTGAGGGTATGGTTTTTTGGAATAAATGTTGGATAAATGTTAGTAATAGTAATAGTTCCTAAATAGCTCTTAACACATCATAGCAGAGTTATATGGTATCCATATGACATCACTGGAGACATTAACCTTCGTCACTTGGTTAAGGCAGGAATTGCTCTAATACACTATTGTAGTTAGTTTCTTCTTAATCTACTCCCATTCCTTTGGTAGCAAATCATTAAGTATAGCCCACCTTCAGCATACGGATGGGAGTGGCACTGTTAAATGCTGTCTGTTATGGGGGAAGGCTGACTTCATAATTTGGATTCTTCTGTAAGAAAGTTTTGTCTGCTTCTTTATATCAGCATGGACTCATGCATAGTTATTTATTTTAGACTTTAGGTCATTGTCCAATGCAGTGTTTAGTTTATGGTTCAAATTGTTCCATCTTTAGCCATTAGGAATTTTTTCAGGTTGGCTCCTATGTCTTTGACATGCCTCCATACTCCAATAGAACAGAAAGTAAATGATGGAGAGAAGGAAGAAGCGTAAAAGAGGTTCATCAAATACTTAGGGAACGGGATCTAGCAATGTGGTGGCAGTGATGTCAACTTTTAATAGGGGCCTTGACGGTTGGATTACCAGGAGGAATGGATCCATGTAGTATTAGAGCTAAGTTTGTAGTCACAGAGTGACCAGTAAACACATTGTGATTTTTCCCCCAGCCACACTGTAGCACATGGGTGCTTACCCAGGATATGGGGTGTTGTATAATTAAACACAGAAACAGAAGATAAATGTTAGTAATAGTAATAGTTCCTAAATGTCTATATTTTATCAAAATAAAAGGTACTATTATACTATAAGAAAAATATAATAACCAGGTAAATTCACAAAAAT